TCCCTCTCAACAACCCCTGTCGGCTCTTCAAATAGATCAGGGTACTTAGCAACTACTCCCTCTATCTCTGGCGGCATTTTCACCGGCTCGCCTGCAGCAGAGACATAGACTAAGTACATACCCTCCTCCTGATTTTGCTTATAATAATTATAGAATGCGGCCGCACACATGCACCCATAGGACTCAATCAGACTACTAGCTTTGAACTTATGTAATCTGGCGGTCCCTCCACCTAGCAACGTGTGTTTGATCACTTTTTTCGGTCCCAGTCGAACTGGGGCTGTGCTACAGAGAGGGAGTACATACCTAGTAACATGTCCATTGGGAGCTCGTCACTCACCAGGAACGAGACACGATGTCTCAAGTCCGCTCACGCGTACGAGAAAACACACTCTACATCATGGAGGTAGTCATTAACTACCATGCGCTGTTTGTTGGCACAGGTCGACTCCACAGGTCGACTCAGGCGCTGCACTTTCCCCTGTAAGCGCAGCCTCTCAACGCACGCGCGGCTAATAAAGTTCCTAGTCGAGCAAATGTCGTAATAGGCCCCGACCTTGCGGCCTCCTATAACTACCTCGCTGACAAACATTTCACTATTAGGGGCTTTAACTAACGCCGTCCAAGAAGCTAGTGGATCTGATCTAGACCACTCATGCTCTAGCTCCTCTAAGGATTCAAACACATTCATCGAACAGAGGGTCGATGGGTCTGAATGTGTTTGCGGGACGACTGAAGAGTCTGTAGCTTGGGCCATCTCTCGCGAAGGTGAGGGTGAATCCACCATCGCGATCCTAGTAGGAACTACTATCCCTACAAGCCCGACGTGTTTCCCGGAGCACTGCCTGAAGAACTAGCAATGTTGCTGCCAACGGGTTGAGAGGATCCTACCGTCGACCCCATAGTGGGCGGGATCTTCTCGGTGACCTTCCTATTACGACACTTGTACATGCTATGACCATATTGGCCACACTTGATACAAGCTTGCCGTGCCCACCGATCTCTCCACACGTCCTCAGATAGACCCGCTTTCTCCCATGGAGGAGCATTGGGGTCTGTTTGACTCTTCGACCAGGATCCCCTAGGGCGTCTACCGGTCCCTTTGTCGACTCCACCCTCTGAAGTATCGCCACCTGCCTTTGCACCTACTCCCTCCTGGAGATTGCCGTCCAACTCGATGGTTGAACCATCATTGTCGACAAACATTAAGCGACCCTTCGCCTTCCAGTTGGGAGGCAATGTCTTCTTTCTCCCTTCCGTAGTGGGTGCCTGTCCATGCCCTATCTTTGCTTCCAGGTCTAGGGTCACCTTGCTAAGCGAAAGGAAGTTGTGCATATTGATGTTGGCCTCTTTTGCCAACTGGTTCCTGAGAGGCTGTGAAAAACATCTCAGGTACGAAGTCAACAGGACCTGAGGATCATAGCGTACCCCAGGGACACAGATCAAACGCTCAACAGCGTCGGTGGCTTCCCTTACCGACTTAAACTGCCGCGTGTGCAGTGTCAGGATCGCGTCAGTGGCCCTTTGAGCCTCCTGAGGATCATGCCACCTCTCCTCCACCATCTTCAGGAAGTCCTCCAATTTCTAGGAGGCCGCCCAAGTGCGGAGGTCATGACCATATCCCTGAAGTTGCACTAGACCACTCAACCATCTCGCTGCACTACCCTCAAGGTAAGACGCAGCCACAAGCACTTCTTCGTGCGGCAAGGTGAGTTTGCACCTGACGTAGACCGGCACTGCCCTCAACCATGTGTCGAGGTCCTCGCCTCTCTTGTCCCCTGTGAAAGGTTTGGGAGCGACGATGGCCGTCTTTGGAACCCACTATGTCTATCCCGGTCCCTGCATCATTCCAGGCTGTGGACCCGGTGAAACAGGTTGCTGTGCTAGCTGCTGGGGCTGTGTGCCATGAGGCTGCACTGGCTGCGAGACAGCAGGCTGCGTGGTGACTGCAACCTGTGACGGACTTGGAGTAAACACTGTCTGTACAGGAACCTGTAAACTACTCCCTGCTGTTACCCCTCCTGACAGCGGCATGCCCAGGGAAACTATGGCAACCGTTGAGGGGGCTACATATGGGGATACCCCAGTCACTGGTGGGACAGAGAAGGGAGGATATGGCACGGGCCAGGCACCAGGCCCGGCTGGTGATGGTGTTGCCTGAGCGCGGCCTGACAATACGGCCAGACTCTGTTGAATGTCCTGAAGGATGGTAGTCTGGTGCTCCTGCATCTCTATAACCCCTAGCAGGGCCTTCCTAACTACCCTCACATCATCATCCATATGCGTCAGGTCCATCGTTTCTAACTCCTCTATGTCTGTCTCTCTTTGCTGCATCCTGGCTCTTCTTCTAATCATCATCTCCTTCTCTCTCTTTATCTGTCCTAATGACTGCTGTAACTGTGCCTCTTGCAGGGCTGCCTRCTGGATGGCGACATCCTCTKGGGACAACACCGCGGGCTGGCTTGCCATTAARCCAGTGGACTGACTCACGGTCTGCACGACCGTGGACCCRGCRGTACCKGAACTACCGGCTTGGGAAGTCTGCTRCGCAGACGTGCTCATGGYTGTGGTAGCCATGGCTGCTATAGCACTGGCCTCGCTAGCAAATGCCCTGCTGGCCTCGGCTGCTCTAGCTCTCCTCTGCTGCTGCCTCTCCCTCTGCCGGCGGAACAGTTCCCTATCACCCTCCGGTCCTAAAGACACGTGGGATACCGGTCCTCTAGCCGATCGTAAGGTCCTGCGGTCGTCCTCCACGTCGCTCATAGACTACAGCACTGTGCACCGTCCACACTAGATCATTCTAGATGCCTACCGCAGCATAGTACACAGACCAACTAATTAGTGGTGGCTATTTTCAGAACAGATCTCATTTGGGGTCAACAGGTAAGTCAGATTCCTACTGTCAATACTATTTTTAGTAAGATTAGTTCTCAAACAGAAGAAGCATCAAGAATAAACAATATTCTAAACTAATGCTGTCTGTCAGATGTCACATGGTTGTCCATCTAACTAATCACTGACTGGGTCTGTTCATAGCATGGAATTAAAAACCCGAACTTATCACCTGGAACCTACCCCTCCCTTTGTTCTTCTCAAAGTCACGGTGTCATGTTTCTTTGCATCAGAAGCCAAGTGTGTCTCAAAGGTGTGCAATCCGGTCCCACCCCTGTGCCCCGGGTTATCGTCGAGCAAGGCAGCCACAGCACTCTTATTTGTCCTCTTCAGGTAAGCATCCGTCTCAAATCTGTACAAGTTATCTTAAGGCAGAAAGTGTTCTTCTCCAAAGAGAGGATTTTCACGTTCATCCAAAAACTACGGATCCTTATCCGAGGAAGATCAATCCTCGCCTGTGTCCCCCCCCCCCCCCACCCCCGCCCCCCAAAAAAAAAATCCTCGCCTGGGGAGGATAAGTTCGTGGCTGAGAAGAAAAAGAGGATACAGATCCTTATCCAAAGAGGAGAGATCCTTCCCTGGGGAGGACTGATTCGTAGCTGAAGAACGAAGATCCTGCCCATGCGAGTAGCTCTCCTCTCTTCGGATAAGGATAAGGATCCGTAGTTTTGAGATAAACATACATCCTCTTCCCCTCTTCAGCTACGCGAATCTGCAGATTCGTAGCTGAAGAAGAGAAGATTCTCCCCATTCGAGGAGCTCTCCTCTCTTCGGGTAAGGAAGGATCTGTAGTTTTTTTTATAAACATTTATCCTATTCCACTCTTCAGCTACGAATATGCAGATTAGATGCGCAGCTGAAGAGAGAAGATCCTCCCCATTCGAGAAGCTCTCTTCTCTTCGCATAAGGATCTGCAGTTCCGGGATAAACATCTACTACTTCTCTTCCCCACTTCAGCTACGAATCTGTCCTCCCCGGGGGAAGATCCCTCCTCCTTCGTTAAAGATCTTTATTTTCGTATAATAAATAGCTTTCTTTCTGGAATAAGACCAAATTTTCCGCCTTTCAGATGTCTTCCCTCCTCTTCAGATCGCACACCACCTGTTAAGGACAGCAGGAGAGTTTCGACGAAACCCACAGCTTTGTCATCAGGAAAACGACAAGGCCGCTTGCCAATCTTCTCATTCGAGGAGTCTGGCGTGTACAGTATCTTTTCTTCTCTTCTCTTCTCTTCTCTTCTCTTCTCTTCTCTTCTCTTCTCTTTTCCTTACATTTCTGTTCGACTCCTGTATACATATACTGACCTGGGTTAAGGTGGAGGTTATCGCCGACAGTATCATCTATTAGGAAACTCTGCAGACTGGGCAGGGTTCAGCCTCTTGATCTCTGCAGACTGGGCAGGGTTCAGTCGCTTGAACTCTACAGACCGCGCAGGGTTCAGCCTCTTGACTGACGAGTGGGTGAAACTCCGACGACAGTCTGTCGCAGCCCTCCCCCCCCCTCCCGTTTCTTGTCCTTTCTCCCTTGCCGCCTACGGATCACCGGGCAGTTCTCAATAACTATCAAGACCAGTCGGTGAAACTCCGACGGAACAGTCTGTCACCGCCCCTCGTTTGTTGTCCTCTTCTCCCTCTCGGCCTATTCTCTATGACGATCTAAACCTGGCAGCTCCGTTTGACGATTTATGGACGTTTCTCATACAGATTATCAGGCAATTACCGAAACGAAGATAATGGGAGGGGGGGGATTTCGAAGAGGACAAGGAGCACGTTTATATAAAGAACTCGAAGAAAAAAGAAAAAAACAACGAAAAGGGAGTATAAGGTGGATCTTTATCTGTTAAAAAAAAGCTCCCCCATGTGTGCGACTGAGCGAAAAGGGCTCCAGCAGACATCCTCCTGGCATCTGCCCACTGAAACCATTTTCTGACTTACTGGATAATGACGCGACGAGAAGAAACGACGTTAAACAAAGCACAGAGGTGGAGGCAGAGGGGAGGAAGAGAGGAGGAAGAAAGGAGGAAGAGAGGAGGAGGGGAGAAGGAAGAGAGCAGGAGGAGAGGAGGAATAGAGGACGAGGAGGAGAAAGCGAGTGAAGGGGGAAAATGAGGGGGAGGAGAGGAAGGAAGAGAGGGAGGACGAGAGGGAGGGAGGGAGGGATGGAGGGAGGGAGGCAGCGAGGATGATGGGAGAAGATGCTTACCACTTTGAAAAAAAGAACCGTATCCATATTTTGGGACTTGATTTCCCAATACTGCCGCTGGGACTTGGACATATTTCGCAACAAGTCAGGGGGAATAGTGAGCGTTCTGCGATTATAAAAGGGTTCACTGGGTTTTCTTCCCTTGGCGTCCCTCATCTCCTTCGGGTCTAAGAATTGAAACCTCTTCCTTACTTCGTCCATTGGTTTCTCGCTCGGATCGCCAGCATCCCAGAACTTCTTCCTCTTTTCTGCCATAGCTGCCAACCTTTCCGCTGACACGGGGCCATTGCTATTTCCACTTCTCTTGAGAAGGGCAACATGGCACCCATCCACTAACCCCTGGGAAGCAAAAACCTGTGAAGCACAATGCCAACCAGGTTTGGAAAGTGGATCGAAAGTAGCATCGGCATGACTGAAGGAGATCCTTCTCCTTCTGTTTGCAAGACGCTCTTCTGCTTCATCTCGATCGTCTCCAAGTGACATGTTATCTTCCCTCCAATCATGATATTCTTTTCGTTTTCCTCCTCTTCCCCCTCCCAACACTCCACCGCTTCCTATGGCGGCTTCATTTCGATCGTCTCCAAGTGCCATGTCGTCTTCCCTCCAATCATTATTTTCTTTTCGTTTCCACTCTCCTTTCTCCTGACCTCCTCCTCTTCCCCCTCCTCTTCCCCCTCCTCTTCCCCCTCCTCTTCCTCCTCCTATTCCTCCTCCTCGTCCTCCTCTTCCTCCTCCTCTTCCTCCTCCGCCTCCCAACACTCCACCACCTCCTCTTGCGCAGTCTTCGCCAGCTCTAGAGCAACTCATGCCCCCTCTTCCGCCCGTTGACGATTCCCGCCCTGTGCGGTCCACAGATCCCCTGACCGCGGAAACGCGATTGTAATCCCCACGTTCCACAGCTCCCCTGACCGCGGAAACGCAATTGTAATCCCCTTCTCTTTCTTGCCCTCCATAGCTGTGATTCCCATCTCTCTCTTGGCCTCCATATGTGTGATCCCCATCTCTCTCTTGCCCTCCATATCCACGAGCATCTTGATGACCCTCAACCGAAAGGCAGCAGGTATCCTCTGCACAACTCACCGCATTCGTTATGATCACACTTTCCCCTCTCGACCGCTTGGCATCCGGAGGCAGAATCCCGATCCCACTACCAAACGGCGTGGTCCTCTTCTTCAGACTGCTAAGATTTGCTCTCCCCTCTCCCTCAGAGGCAAATGCATGAGCAATCCCCAAGCTATTACACGCCCTGTCCGCCAAGATACCCGCATCAGCACCCGTCATGGCGCTGCTGCGGGCGCCGGTGACCAGTGGACCTGGTGCGGAGGGATGCAGAAGCTTCGAAGGCGGCGACAAGGGAGGCGCACTGGGTGCTCTTCCAAGACCACCTCCTCTTGCTTCTCCGTCAGCGTAGGGAACGCGAAACTTCGCACGGCTCCTCTTTCCTCCCTTGGACTCTGAGCTATCCCATCCCTCTCCCTCCTCCCACGTCCCCCGCTCTTCCTGTCTATTCTCCAGACGCCCTTGGGAAGCGCTCGAGTTCGTAGTAGACACATTTCGAGATACTGATCGGGGCGACGAGAGGGCCGGCAATCTCTGTAATGGCGCCACGTCATCGCCACCGCGATCCCGACCGCGATCGCCGCCGTGTAGCGCCAACTTCGCCGGTGTTGATCGAGTTGCCCCCCCTGCTGTCGCATCTGCCATGCGAGGGCAATTTGGCAAAGGGGAGCCAAACTTCTCATCACGCAAATCGGACATAGATTGTCTGCCGCTGCTGCTCGAGAATCCAGTCCTGTCTAGCAGTCCTGGAACGTTCTTCCCCACCCCCACCCCGTTTCCATCTCCCCGCAAACGCTCCATGAGCGGCCGACCGGCGATTCCCGACCGGACGGATGTCGGCCTTTGGTCGACAGTGCCTCCCACCAACGGAGCGCTGCTGCCTGTCCCAGCTGCTGCCTGCGCATGCCGTGTGGAATGACAACTCTCTTCGCTGCCACCTCCGTTGCTTGATGACGACTGGCGCGGCACCTCGTTGTCACGCCCATTCTCGCCGACTACCCGATCTCCGTTCCCCTTGTTGAAGAACTCGAACAACGATCGCTGCAGCCTCGACATCCTGCAAATCTCTCTCTCTCTCTCTCTCTCTCTCTCTCTCTCTCTCTCTCTCTCTCTCTCTCTCTCTCTCTCTCTCTCTCTCTCTCTGTGTCTCTGTGCCTCTACCTCTAGTCCTAGTGCAGCGCTGAATCGCGTGCCGCTCCAGCAGCATGTCCGAGGGGCAAATCGCAAATAAACGTAAACTTCAGGGGCATTTAGAAATTTTTTCCTTATTTTTAAGCTGCGTTTTTTGGGTTGCTTCTTTCTCTTTGTATCTCACAGCCTTTTTTCTTTTCTTTTTTAAATTATTTTTAACCTTCGTTTCACAGCCTTTGTATTTCACAAACTTACGGCTATGCCCCGTGTCACCAAGCTATTTCACAGCATTTTTCTTTTCTTCTTTAAATTATTTTTAACCTTCTTTTTTTGGGTTGTTTATTTCTCTTTGTTATCTCACAACCTTATGGCTATGGCCCGTGTCATCAATCTATTAGTATTATAAAAAACAGATCTATAAGGTCCTTGAAGAAACCACTTAAATCACCCATATTTTTGCATTTCTTTTGTGTATTACTAAGAAAAGAGAGCCACCGAAGACCATCTATCAAATACTCTTCACTATTTCCAATATTATCTTGTAAGCTCCTAGAACTACTTTCATTATATTCAAACCTCTCACTTGTGAATTTTGTGTCTTCATGTATATCAATATTAGAAATTGATTGTTGGATCTGCAAAGAAGTAAAAGACTATAGTCGACATACTCACTATCCTCCATGAATAGAACCTCGTTATTTGAAGGCTAGACTACCAGAGTGACAAAGGGGCTCAGAAAAAGGGGGGGGGGGGGGGGGGGAAGAACACTGGTGGCGCATTTCTGCAACGACTAAGATGTGCCCCAATCCGGCTTTATCTTGGAATTTGATGATGCCTCACCATAGGAGGTCCGTGGGGAATAAACGGGGTTAAGGGGTTTACAGGGGGGGGTTAAAAGGGGTTTAAATTTGGTTAGACGGGCTCACAAGGGTGTGAGGTAATTTGATTCAGAAATTCTTAAGCTTTTTTTTTTCCCAATCCCGAGTGACTCTCAGCCGAAAGTTGCTGGACTCACTGCTTTATGACATATGACTCTGAATTTGCATTATACAAAACAAAAAAGTTTGACCGACATGTGCGGAGACGCGTACAAAATGCACCGAGAAACGGGAAAGCCGAAAAAACTGTGGCTTTCTTCTATTAAAATCCCATGTCGTCACTTTAGGGCATTCTCACACTGGGACTTTTACGGTTCAGCTCTACTCTACATGTGATTATAGTCCAATGTATTGAGATCTGGCCATAATTGCAGTCAGATACATTAAGGAAAGTGCCAGTGTCAGTATACCCTTAGAGAATCAGTTTTGAGCAACTACAACACTAAAGGTTGTAGCGCGCTTAACATGCATCCACGGTTTAGAAAAATCCTTGGGGAAAAAAAAAAAAAAAACTCAGCATGAACCTCCTGAATCAAATACAAAGAATATACAAATAGAATTATTCAATTATCGAAATATTTTTTTTAACTATTATTAATTCTTGTTTTAAGAACCAAGTTAATTCGTATCAGCCCCAGTGCCCAAGGCTTATGCGTTTTTTCTTTTTTTTTTTAATCGTTGCACATGGGCCATTTTGCTAACTACCCTTCTCTGTATCGTTCCAATTTTGACGGATGTCCCGAAGGATACGCATGAAACTGTTCCACCCACGAGTCCCCAGTCTATCACTGCAGGCAGGGCTCCACTCCCATCGCACACCAACCCAAAAAAAAAGGGCAAAACTGTGCAGCAAAGAAGAGAAACAGAGTCTTAGGGTATCATACTATCATCGCGCTAGGACCTTTTTTCCTTATTATGGACATAATTGTGGTCAGATGCATCAAGGTCCGGCCGTAAATGCGGTCAGATACATTTTTAACATAAACCTAGTGTGAGTACGTCCTTAGCCTCCTGTCCTTCCCGATATCCGTTAAAATTGGAACGATACCAACGGGCCTACCTCAGGTGGTACAACCCATCAACTGTTGAAATACAGACCCGAGTTCGAATCTAGATGCAATTATATAAACAGAATGAAATAGTTTTTTTTTTTTTTTAAAAACACAAATTTGTTATGCTGTCACCCATGAACTGTTGAAATACAGTCTGAGACCTATTCGAGGGCGGGGACCTCACACTTCTACCTGAATAAAAGAATTCCGAGTTACTGAGGCCTGTCAGTGGTGATTAGCCAATGTTCAAAAACCGTTTCACGCCTTTCACACTGTCAGGAGATTATAGACCATCAACCTTCCTTTCCCAATGTATTTCTATAAATAGCACGAACTCCATTATCTGGGTCTATTGCTCTACTTGTCCTCTGCCGTCTTTCTTGGAACCAAATCGGAGATTCTTCTTTTTTTTTTTTTTTTTTGGTACAAAACATCCATCGTTTCATTTTATATCAGAAAACACAAACCGTCTTTCTTGGAGCCAAATCGGAGAATTTTTTTTTTTTTTTGGGTACAAAACATTCATTGTTTCATTTTATATCACAAAACACAAATCGTCTTGCTTGGAGCCAAATCGGAGATTTTTTTTATTTTTTTTTTTGGGTACAAAACATTCATCGTTTCATTTTATATCAGAAAACACAAATCGGCCATTCTCAACTCGTGTTCCTTTCTTCTTTATTTTCAGATAAAAGAAACTTGGACCATTTCTCGATTTGTGCGTGTCATCCTAAAATGTGCAAGGGCCATGCTAATTAATGAAGCCTCAGTCTATTGCAAGGAAGATGAGCATTAGCGAACTTCAGCAATCAAACAGCATCATACATATGAGCCCAGATAGTCTTGACCTCGAACCACAGCAGACTTGCATCACGAGATACACCAAATAAGAACACACCAAGAGTTCAAAATTGACAATGCTGAAGTAGTCCCATCATCATCAACTACAAACCAGAGTTGATATCCTATTGGCACTCGGCGCCCAGACTACATGTGGCAGATCCTATCTAGCCTATACTACGAAGCAGAATGATGACATCAACA